GGTTTGTTGTCATGTCTGAATTCCCAACACGGTTGCTCTTACCACCCTCTCTCTGTGTCTTATCTAGATTCATCTGTATTTGAGATGTATACATGCTACTGTGTGGCTGTATGGGAGCACTGCAATTGATATTGTGTTCTCTCCGTGGGGTTTACATATTTTAAAATTTAAAATTTTGATAGTTTTTATTTTATGTTTATGATTGATTTTATTCATCTGTTAGTTAATTGTTGTATGCCACCCAGAGTTGCTTGTGTGAGATGAGCGGCTATATAAATATGACATATAAATAAATAAATAAATAAAGTCATCGTGTTTGACAGGGATAACAGAATGAATTATTGCAAGTTACACATAAATGGCAAAACCTAGATTAAGCGTATGAATTTGTGTACTTTAGTAGAATGTTTACTAAAGATGGGAAAACATGGAGAAATTTTAAGGTGTGCCTATGCTGGTAGACAGGCAGTGAGTATGATACATTCTGTTGTGGGAATGTTCGTTGAAAGAAGTTAACATGGCTGTATATAAAGCACGTTTCTGCCTACTGTGTCATATGGCAGTGAGAGTTGGGTATATCAGGAAAACATTAAGTGGAATGCAGCGAGAATCACGTACTTAAATATGTGTAGTAAAACAAGAGAAAGAATCAAGAATGAATGGGTGATGTGGATTGAATACAAGATGAGTGACTAGTACAAAAGAATGCTAAGGTGGTTGGTAATATGGAAACAATTAGGATTGAACTGCAGAGCAACTTTATGAAGGGTGAGTGAATGGACTGAATGAAAGAGGAAGACCAAGAAGGTTGTGATTGGATGGAGTTGATGAGATTCTCAAGGTGAGAATACTGAAGCATGAAAGGCAATGTATAAAGTGGTTATGGATACGGAAGATAGAATGGTTTGGAAGAGAAAAGTATGGAGAGGCATATGAATGGTGTTAGATTTAGTCACATTTCCTTTTCTTACCTCATGCTTTTAATTTCTTTGGCTTACTATTTACTTCCTTTCCGTACTTGGTATACCATTGCTTACCTTGAAAGGGAATAGTGTGATGGGTATGTATGTATGTATGCTCCCAATACAGTGCTTTCAGAGACTTGGCAATGCACCCACAAGGGGCCCAAGACATCCCTGGGAAAATACAAAAAGAAAGAAAAAAGACTTTCCCCAAGCTGCCATCTTTAAGCTTTTTGGGTGGTGGGGATGGAAATGAAAGAGGGGAAGAGGAATCTAGGGGACAGAATACAGTGAAGATGCTGCCTTCAGGGAAATGAATAAAGTGGGGTCATGAAGAATCAGGTCCACTTGCATTATGGTGTTTGAGCTCCATGGGATAGGTATGGGGAACAAAAACAGAAAGGCTAAATGAAATGTGCAAATTGCCTCAGCCTCTGCTTCACTCCTATCAGAGTGAAGAGGGTTCCTGTGAAGACACTCCCAAAAGCGAGATGGGAAAGGAAGTAATTGAAAGAAGGGAGTAATGAAAGAAATGGACAGATTCAATAAATTTCCTATTCATCCAACTGGACACATGTAATCTCTTTCTCACTTTCACGTGATGGACCTAGAACAGAGATTAGCTGGAAAATATGGGGTACAAAAAGATTTGGGGGCCAATGGGAAAGGGAGGAATAAGACTGTAAATAGCTGCTTCTTGTGTACAAAATTTTAAAGTCAACTGTCTTGAACTTGCATTATTTGTACATGAGAACCCCTCAGGGACACTGCGAATCACATCCACCTCTGTTTTAACTGCAAAAAGTACAAATTCAGTAGTAGTATAGCATATGGATTGGAGACATGAATCTGTCTGAGCCCTTTGGATTTTAAAGAGTTTTCTCTGAAAGCACCATCAGGAAAATTCATGAGTATCTGAGCAATCAATGTTTCTATGCCATGGCAACACTGACATACACCAGACTGTGATTTTTGTTTGCAGTCACTGCGTAACATTACCAATGTAAACATAATTTGACTGCAATTTTGGGTAACCATGGCTCCCAACGCTTGCTTGTTTGGGAATGATAAGCAAGGCATCTCAGCATGGAAAGCATGATAAACAAATATTGAGATTCCTGAATGAGTTTATCTGTTCTGCTCACAGAAAGACCCAAATGAATGTCACTGAGCAGTGCGCACCAATGCTGGTTATGCTGGTTAGTTGATAAGATGGAACATTTCAAACGGAATTTCCAGAATTCTAGAAAAAAATGGTTTGTCGTGATACACAAACACTGTAGAGGCTGTACTTATTCATATGCTAGTTTAAAATAAATCATAATTATTGGCTTAAATTGATGTGTGTAATGGATGAGCCTCATCCTGGGAAAACCACTTTCATGATCATGGTATTGCCACTGAATCCAACAGGTACTCTGCCTCCCCTATGGCATATTTAACTAAACTCGAAGTACCTAAACACCAGAGGCCTTTCCTCTGGTACGATGTCATGCCTTCCCCTCAGCTGTCCTTGAAAGCTAATACAGGAAGATTCCTTACCCAGACAGACGATGCCCCTGTGACTCTGGACACACAGAAACAACAGAACATGTGCTTCTCCAGTGGCTGTATTACAGAGACGTTTGTACTAGCCTCACTTCACCATTACTGTATAAATACCCAGGGTGCACAGGACAATTCTACACCTCCCTGCTGCTTTCAGATACCAACCCTGCTACAACATACAATGTTGCCAGGTTCTGTGTACCAGTGCTTAAAATTTGTCGGACGATGACTCATGCCATAAACTACACTTAATGAGCATCTAGTTCGCCATACTAGAGTGCTCTGTAATTTGATAGTCTTCCACATACTAACCTGTATCTTCTCCTACACCCATCTAATCCTCCTACCCCACCTTTTAGATTATTTACACTCTTGTTTTTTTATATATACTTTCTGTTTTAATATATTTTTATATCTTCTAGCTTCTTGTATACTTTATGTATCTTCTATGCTTTTTAATTGACTGTACCCCATCTTCCTTATGCTGGTCTATGACCATATCTGATTGATTGATGTGTGAACCAGACCATGTAAATTACCAATAAGTGGATGTTTAATCAAGTAAGACTTATTAAAGTGCTCTAGGTATTTCATATATACACATACACACATACACACATACATATGTATTATCATGGAACACAGAATACATAGATTAATCTGATTGTTTTCTTCTCTTCCTCCCTTACTCTCTGTAATGCCTGTTCCTTTACCTGAACATTTTTTTAAAGACACAATTTATAATAAAACCACAATCATTATATACTTCTTCATAGGAAAGAGAACGGCTCATGGTTATACATTATTCTTAGTGCTGATAATATAGTTAGTACAAACTCATGAAAAATATAACTAGGATGGGGGACACCCAGGTTCAAACCCATTCTCAGCCATGGAAGGTCACTGTGTGAATCTGGATCTGTCAATCTCTCTCATATAAATGTAACAAATTAATTAAATGAGTTTTGATACTTTTTCCCATTTGCAAAACAGATTATTAAGAAGAAACATCATATACAGGTAGTCCTCGAGTTACGACGGCAATGGGGACTGAATTCTTTACTAAGCGATGTGGTTGTAAAGTGCGATGTCACATGACCACATCACTTAGTGACAGTAATCCAGGCAGTCCTGGTTGTTGTCATAACCTAAGAGTGTGGGTCATTAAGCAGGAAGTGGCAGGAACCCCAGATAAGGAGCGCAGGAGTGACGGGGGGGGAGCTCCTGGGAGGCTGGCGCAGGCTGCGCATGAGTTGGGGAGGAAAGTGCTAGGGAGGCCCAGGAAGGAGGGTGTGGGGTGTGTGCAAGTGCAGGGAGGTCTGGGAAAGAGGGCACAGGGTGCGTGTAAGTGCAGGGAGGCCTGAGGAGGAGGGCACAGTGCAGTGTGCAGGAAGAGGGGGCGACTTACCAAAGCAACTTGCGACCTTCCCTGCCAGCTTTCCCATTGACTTTGATTGTGGGAAGCTGGCAGGGAAGGTTGTAAATGGAGATCATGTGACCATGGGATGCTGCTGCAACTGTCATAAGTGAGAGCTGGTTGCCAAGCACATGAATTGTGATTACGTGACTGCGGGGGCACTGCAATGGCCAGAATTTCGAGGACTGATTGTAAGTACCACTCATTCAGTGCCGTCGTAACTCTGAACAGTTGCTGAACAAGTGGTCGATAAGCAAGGACTACCTGTATGTGGAAATCTGTGACTTCAGGTCTGAAGATATGCTTGAAAACATAGACTCATCAATCCAACCTAGAATTGGTATATACTTACAGGTCACAGGCAGAACAGTGATGACATCGATCAGGTTTGATTAGCTGGCATCTATCACAGTACCTAATAGCTAAATTGAAACAAAGTCAAGATGTGAAATGTGAAGCTTTAAAATTAGGAGTTTAGAGCTTTCCTACTTCTCAAAAAAGGATTTATAAGAATTCAGAATATAAATAGGGCAGCTATACAAGTAGTCCTCAACTTAAAACCACAATAGGGACTACAAAACTCATCATTAAGCAGTGCAGTTGTTAAGCAAGGCATCATGTGACTGCACCTGATTTTACGACCTTTTTTGCCAGAGTCAAGTGAATCACTGCAGTCATTAAGTGAATCACATGCTCGTTAAGCAAATCACGTGGTTGTTAAGTGAATCACACAGTTCCCCCTTGACTTTGCTTGTCAGAAGCTGGCTGGGAAGATCACAAATGGGGATCATGTGACCCTGGGACGCTGCAACCATTGTAAATACATGCTGGTTGCCAAGTGCCCCAATTTTGATCACGTGACTGTGGGGACGCTGCAATAGTTGTAAGTGTGTGGATTCCTCATAAGTCACTTTTTCAGCCCTGTCATAACTTTGAATGGTTGTTAAACAAGTCAAGGGCTACCTGTATCTTAAAAATGAATGGGTATATAGTAATACGAGAATTCTCCAACAGCTATTATTTATTTATTTGTTTAAATTTATTGGCTGCCCAATTTCAGTACAGAGTTGTTCATTTACAACTGCTGTGAAATAACAGTAAAGCAATCTATCTGTATATCTACTGATGGAAAGGTGAAACATTAATATAGCTTAAACAGTATCTGGAACAGTTCTTGATTCCCCCCCCCCCTTTTTTAGGTTGTATACCATCCAGAGTCACAACTCTGAGAGAAGCACCTGATAAATTTTATAAACAAACAAATAAATACTGAGCTACCCATGCAAAACTTTCAAAGGGAAAGGAAACTAGGATTTCCCTCACATCTTAAATAGGAAAATACTACTGTCCTTTTTCAGTACCATAAAATGCCAGAAACAGCTTTGGAAACAGTGGGTCTCCAGGATCCTTTGACTGGATGAATGCTATACATGCAGTTAGTGGAGGGGCGCCTGCAACTCAGCCTAGCTAAGGAACATTTTAGCACTATTCACATGATACAGACATCAGGAAGAATGACTGTTTTATTTTAGAAAATTTGTGTGTTGATGTAGAAATAAAGACAAAACGTTTGGTGCGGGTCAAGTGAAGCCAATGCTGATGCCATTCCTAAATGGCTTACCTCTTGATGTTGTTGTAGTATAGACAGGCAGATCTTTAGCAGCTCTTCTTAGAATTTCCTGCTGAGATTCTGGCCTCTCTTCTTTTTCATATTGCTCCTTATCGGTTTTTGATAAGCAAAACTGAAGAAAAGGACAAAAGCATGTTTGTTTTCATGCCATCTGTTAATCATATTTAGGCGATACACGCACACACACACAAAGTTTCAGAATTTTTATACATTATTAATTCGAAGAAATATTAAATCAAAATCAAAGACATGACTAGTTTGTATCACCAAACAGATAAAGTAGATGATCCTAACCCAAAATCTATTTCCCCTTTCATCTTTTAGTACTGTAAAAACTTATTTCCTACCTCTCCACATTATTTCTAGGTAAATGACATTATCTAGTAATTATAAATATATTTTTAAGTACATTATCTACACTTCTGCTGGACTCAGCAGTTGCGACTGTCACATAAAATGTGCAGTGGCTAGACAGATGGAAACTGCACTGTTCAAATTTATATAATGAACATTTGCACTGGTTGGCTGGAAACAGGATCCCACTAATTAAAACCTCACTTGCCCACAGGGATCAAGAATTGGATGATGAAGACAATTCAGGAATGATGCAGTAATGAAGCTACTAAATAAAAGCATAAGACTGAAGTCCTGGAAAACTTCAGCACTTTGCCAATCCACACTGACAAATTGAGCACTGCAATTATTTTTTATGACAAGTTGCCATCAAGTGGAAAGCATTTCAATACAACAGGATGGTAGCATGGTCTGTGCATTTCATAAAAAGTGACTGAACAAAATTGTAACTCCAATCTAAGTAAATGGCCAGCTTCAAAACAACTTGTGTGTATATACTTGTATCTCTTAAAACCTTATCATCTGTATGAATGCCTATTTAGTATTAGCTATTTGGAAATTGGCTGAAACTGGTTCAGGATCTTCTTATTGCTATTGCTGATTCTAAGTTTTTTAAAAGTATGTAACCACAAATTAAAAACAGGTGGAGTCTAATAAGATGCTGAATACAATTCAACGTGCTGGTTTTGATCAACAACACCTAATTTGCTTGGGTCCTTGTTGTCTATGGCACCACTGTCTCCAGACAGAATCTGCATGCCCAGTGCAATCAATCCAGGAAGTGATGGCTTGGATCCCTTCTCTTTGGATGACAGAAGGGCAGGGCTTGGAAGTAGGCATTTTCCACAGCACCCCTTTTGTTCTGGAATATTCTACCCTGTGAGGTCTGGATGCCCGCCCCCCCCCTTCCAGAGTTTGGGAAAGCTGCAATACTGCTACTATTTCATTAGCCCTTTGTGTCCTCAGGAACCTGTCATATTCTGCTGTTTTAATTATGTATTTTATTTTAACACTTGTTTTTATGATATTTATGATATTTTTATATGAGCATTTGTAAAATTCCACATCTTGAGAATAACAGGTTTCTTTTCTTTTTCTTAAAAGGTTTCCAAGATTTGTGGTTATTAAGGTAGTGTTCGACTCTTTCACATAGGCCTATTAAAATCTAAATGGTGGGAATCTCTTTTGACAGAGAAGGAAATGTCCTCAAATACATACGGCACTTCCCTATAATTGCAGGCATAACGTTTTGTGATCTCCTAACCTTGAGTTTGGCTATGTGAGATAGATTTCAATCTTGCTGTTCTATCTTCCGACAATACATCAGGGATAGTTCACCTGTGGCTCCACAGCTGTATGCAGCCTGTGACCACCTTTGTTCCTTCTAAAAATCACCTGACTGTACCACTGAATTCTGGTGGTACAACTGCCAAAAGTTAAAAGTGTGATATCCTGCAGTTAGAAATCACACCAAAATTACGTATATGCTCTAACAGAGCTTTAGAACAGTCAACAAACAAAACAAAGACTACTTCTATCCCAAAACATCCTGAAATCCTGGCCTTGTCTACATATGACATAGTCCTGCCCACTGCATCATCATCCTGCTTGCTGCAGGCTTTAGTTCCTCTGAAAAACATCAAGTCCATACCTGGCCTCCAAATGGATTGCCCCTATTTATTTTAGACATGTTCAGAAACATAACATTGGAAGGGATCTCAGTCATCATCTAGCCCAGACCTTGATAGTCCCTGGAGACATACACTGAACTAAGCAATAGTTTTTTAACCGTGGTTTATTTATCATTCCAGTTCCAGATCTTTCATGCTACTCATGAGATTTATTTAGCTGTTGTTTACTAAATAAATAACTGGCTAATCAATAAACCAAAATGGCTGAATTCACAATATTGCTAATACGCTATAGCATATATGAACAATAATTACAACCCTTTACAAGTTATCCTGATTAGTTCCTTACAGAAGGGAGGGTCATGTAAGAATGAGCTGGAAAGTTGGTCTAAGGGTTCATAGTTAGAGGATCAGAAATGTCATACCTGTGCTTCATCTAACAAATGTAAAATGGTTATTCATACACATTTGTCCATTTTTTAAAATTTAAAATGCTACACAATATTCTTCCATTACCTATTTTTTTTAAAAAAATTCTCTAAAAACGCACTTCAGGATAACTTTTGAGAGTAAAAGAGAATAAATATATCCAGACCTACAACAGAAAAGACACAGATAATGCTTTGACCCTGAAGAGAACAACTTTAAGTTTTAGCAAAAATATTAACACTGTAGCTGCTGAGTTACAACTGCCTCAGGCTGCATTTTGGTCTACCATAAGACATTGATAAAACAATTATTTTTAGGAAGGGCCGTGTTAAATTTAGATTAGCAAAAGGAATTCCACAGTGCTGTGTCCAGAGAATGTAAGCACATATCTGATTTGCACAAATGTTTCTCCTGTTTGAAGCTGTACAGGAACATACAAATATGGAACGTGGGTCAGAGCATTGATAATGACTTCATACTGATGTTGCACATTTCTACAGTATTTGGATATTGCTTGGGTGCCTTAAAGCTAATAGCACTCCTAAACAAGCATGAGGTTTGTTATTGAGCATAATTGTTAAAATAATTATTACAAAGATGCAGAGACTGTGAATTGGTTTATATTAAGATTATGAAACAGACTACAAAGGCCATCTATCTGAACACTGTATTGTTGGGTTATCTCATCTAAAATAACAAATTATTCAAATTAAAGAAATCTAAATTAAGCTATAGCACTGCAGTAATTTCAGAAAATAATTTTATGATTTTCATTCACGGCACTACAATATAATTTATTAAATGGGAAAGGAAAAACTAAACAAAAAGAAAATTTAACAAATCTTATTTAAAAGCAAGCATTAGTACCAAAAACAATTCAGTAGTAAGAACTGTATAACTTTGCCGATAATAACATTTACCTCATTGGAAGGGGAGGCAGGAAATGTAAAAATAGTCTTCCAATAGGACCACGCAAACATTACAAACGACAGATGAAAAATCACAAGGTAGACAACTGCAATAAAAGTGAAATACAAATACAATGTCAGGGAGTACTGTTAAAAAGAGCAAAAACATTAAAACAAAATTAGGGGAATAATGCAACATTTTCTTTGCCTTACCAGCAAAATAAATTTGGAGACACAATTGTAGAATAGGAGATGGCACAGGACCCTGGCTAATACTCAACAATAAATCAATAATAACAGGGATAATAAAATCTATGATCCATCGTAACAAAAAAATAGATCAGTTCCAATTCAAGTCAAATAACAGTTGTAGATAGCTGGCAAACCAAAATCAGAAGTGGATTAGAAGTCTGCTTGTAAACCAAAGGTTAGCACTATGTGTGAAATTATAGTTATGGATGTTGTTCCACCCTAGAGGCCATTTCAACCACAAATGAATGCTCCAGGCATATGGATTACTGCAATGTGCTCTACATGGGGCTGCCCTGTGGTTCACCCGGGTTTTACCACTGCTGCAGGAGCTGCAGTGGCTTCCAGTTGCTTTCTGGGTCAATTCAAGGTGCTGGCTATCACCTTTCAAGCCTGACACAGCACAGGGCCAGGTTACTTGTGGGACCACCTCTCCCTGAGGGTATCTGCCCTCCTACTAGGTTAGATAAGGTGGGCGTGCTCCAGGTCCCTTCCCTTAAATGTTGCCACCTGATGGGATCTCGGAGGTGTGCCTTTTTGGTGGCTGCCCCAGCCCTTTGGAATATCTTCCCACCTGAGATCTGAGGGATACCCTTTGAGCCTTCCATGAAGACCTGGTTCTTCCCCCAAACATTAGGCTAGGGTGGGGGATGAGCTGGAGGCTGTTTGGTCTGGTGCTGGGGGAGGTTACTTCTGTTTTAAGATGTGTTTTTATGGATTGTTGTGAGCCACCTAGAATCATTATATGAGATAGGTGGCTATATAAATCTGTAAATAAATAAATGTTGCTGAAATTATGGTATCAGCTACCCTATGGTAGCTTTCCCAAATAATCTCCTGTGAACTGAGGGTTTTTACAGTTACTGATAAAAGTAGAAGCTGTTAAAAACATAGGAGTGGACCCAAGCTGTAAACAGCTGCAGACATCCCTACTGAAAAGAACATTTTGAAAATTACAAGTTGCTTGGGAGGAATGGCCTTCCTACTGAATTTTAACCCATTTTGTAATGCCTAAACTAACAATGTTCCTTTCTTTTCTTCCTTGTCCAGTTAACTATTCCAATCATCCCACCCACTTTTGTTCTACCTCCTTTTCCTTCTCTTTCTCCTTAGTAGAGTCATTCTTTCTCTCCATCTTGTTTTTTCCCTTAATTTTTACTGTTTCTGCTGGATGGAAAAAAGAAGTAATTGTGTGTTGCTATGTATATGAGAGAGAATTGTTGGGGTTACGATGTCTTGTTTTCTAGCCAATTTATTTTCATTTGCAGACATTAATTCAATTATTTTGAGACTACCTGATCTTTCTATGTTTTGAGAATGACTTCTAGCAGGTAACTATACATACAAACACATTGTACACACAAACACACCTGAGATAGATACATACATATATGAGGAGTGGAAATTGCCAGGATTGGTTTCAGCTGATGATGACAACCACAGGAACTAGTCATTGCAATGGAATTTTGTCTTTGCTTATACATTTCTTTTCTGTATCTTTTTCTGGATTTAAAAATCAGGGCTGTCTTCCTTTTAGAAAAACACTGTACTGGTAACACAAACCAATTTTGCCTGAGGTTTTTAAACAGAGCCCCTGAATCAAAGACATGTTTTCCTGCATAAAGAATATATGATGGCTATAATACATGCAATTTGAGTAAATAAATAAGTACATCATTATATTTATTATTACAGGATTTGGAACTGGCAAATTATCATATGTGTTGAAATCCCTGCACTCTTATGAAATCCTTTATGTTCTTCTGTTTTAATGTTGGTTTTAATTAGGTTTTTCATTTGGTTTTAAGGGTCATTGTGTTTTTCCTGTTTTCCTGTATTTTGTTTATTGGTTGTATTATTTGGATGTTTTTAATAATGTAATTGATAAGTGAATGGCTTAGCTAGAACAGATCACATGTGATTTTTTAAATAAAGGGTTCATAAGCTTGCTTGCTCATAATTCTTACACATATACAGACAGCAATAGGGAAATACAAATAGAAATTCATTATTCTGAAACAAAATACATGTGCTATCAGTGTGTGCTTGTTTCTTATCCCAACAAATGTTTCTATAAGCAAAGAGTGATTTATATAAAAATAAGTAACATAATAGTAAATATTACATTGTTAATAAAATGCTATTACAGATAGCCTAAAGATATTTATTCCTTTTAATGATCAAACTAGTACTGAGCAACATTTTAAAAGAGAAGACTGTAATTTATATTGGCACGTATACTGTAAAGGAAATTTTACACTTTTTATGCTGATAGTTTCGCAGCAATTGTGCTCCTAAGGAATCACCAATAAATAGTTACAGCTGAATTTAGATTTGGGAAGATATATTCAAAAACTCTGAATAACAGATGTAAACTTTGTACAGCATCCACAGATGACATTTAAAACTATGGAAGAAATTGTATTTAAGAATTTAATTTAAGAATGTCAGAACATACTGTATAAACAGCCCTGCTGGATCAGCCAAGGCCCATCTTAGTCCAGCATTTTCTCTACAATGGCAACCAGATTCTTCTCACAAGTAGGATATGGAAACATATCCTTCTCTTGCTACTGTTCACCTGCAACTAGTATTAGAAGGCATGCTACCTCCAATCCAGAAGCAACACTGAGTCGAGAATAATGTTTGATAGAGCTCTCCTCTGTGAATTTTTCTAATCTAAGTCTGAGAAGCAAAAGCAAAATCTTTTGTCTTGTCAAGAGCTCCCAGCTAATTTACCAGGCTGCCATGTGCAGCCTGCTGGTTTTTGTACTTTAGGGTTTGTAATCCAACCTCATTTTCTAAATAGGTTTATTTAAGCTACATTAAAAGATAATGGAATGCCAATTACTGCAGCTGGCTTTACCTCTTAAATCCAGAAATTGCTGCTTCAGTGACTGAAGATTTTCCATTTCTAAACCACCACAAATAACCTTCAGGAATTGTGAAAGAAAAGACCCTTTGTAACTAAGTGAGAAAGGGAGGGAAACTGTAGTGGAATACTGAATATTTTATGTTTCTGCCACATTTTCATACCACATGAATAATTGTTGACCTACTTTCCAAGCTGATAAAGGACAAAAGTTTAAGAAGATATAGAATTAGGGGACAGTGCAATCCAAGAAGCATTAGGAGGATCTGTCTGCTCCAATGACATTATGGACCCAGTAGATTTTCTAGGGCAGCCTTGAATACGCACACAGCTTTATGAAACTATAAATGTTACTAGAATAGAAACACATGCTGAAATATTAGTTCTGAGAGCACAAGTGACGTTTTTAACAATATTCCATTTTTTAAAAAACATAGTTAGCTGCCCAGAGTCATGAATTTGAGATGGGCAGCATATACTGTAAATTGACAGAATGAATGAATGAATGAATGAATGAATGAATGAATGAATGAATGAATATATCTACCTGAAGAGTCTGTAAAATTTAATCATTTAAATTAAAACATTTGTGAGAAAGAACTTGACAAAGTATTTTAATTCAAATGCAGTTAAAAAAGCCGAGCTTAATGTCAGTCGAGCAATGATTGTTATACTCAACCATTTTAAATACCTGAATTCAACTGAATTTTAAATTAAGAGGGAAGTGTGTCTGTTTGCATCACTACTACAGATTTAATAGGCAGGAACAGTTATTTTATTATTATAACATTCATAATGATTGGCAATATCTGAACACTGAACAAGAACAGCATCAGATTTCAGAAAAAGAAGGAAAACAAGATCCAAAATTAAGCTATGAGGATTCTAGGTAGATCAGAATATAGATTTGTAAAGGAGGATACACTTCATTTTTTAAAAAATGTATTTATTTGTGACTCTGAGGTGAATGAGGAAATTCAGAGCAGATTTAATTTATTTGAGGAACATATGTGACTAGAAACAAGAAATACATTTGCAAATTAATCTGTTGTAGAATTATTTGATGAGTAACAACCTTAACTTTTTTCTCCTTTTTCGAAGGAGAAGAAAATATTATAGAATCTTACTTTTTATGTCTACCTTTGCATGGTTGGAGTAGGGGGACAACAACTTAAGCCACACTGGAGGTTTTAAATACAGTTCCTTTTGCTTTTCTGGGAAGAGTATTTTCGTTTTTATCACATTTTTATTATGTTTAATTTTTTTTAGTTCAGATTCCTATTCAGTATTTAAATGTTTTCTCTTTATGTACTACTGCTTATCAAGCTTACTACAGCATGAGATGTCTGCTAACTCTGGGAAGCAGAGGTTGAGAAAATTTGTTTATATTATTAAGCAGCTGAAATGTAAATGAACTCAAGTTATAAAAAAGGACAAATTTGTAAAAAGCCATAAAAGTTACAAGTAGACAGTATTATGTTCTAAGAAGCCAATACTCTACCTCACAAACTTTTTTTTTTTTTTTTGAGGCCTAGAAGCTAGATTAGATAGACCTATATTACTGGATAAAATATGTGGGTTAACTGTTATATTTAATATAAAATCTAAAACTGATCTGGAATGAGAGCATATGAATACTTTGTTTTCTTGGTAATAAAGATAGCTGATACTTTTATTGCTCTGATTAACTTTTATGGCCCTATCAAGAACACTGCTGAAATATTTCAT